CACCAAGAGTCCCGTGCCCAGGCCACAAGCTCGGCCGGGAGCCGGGAGCGGCATGCAGGCAGAAAACATCACCTCGCTTGGTGGACAGAAGGTGAATGTGGGTGCCCAGGCCTTCTGGTGGAGCCGTCGGCTCACAGACTTACCTGTGGGCAGCTGCATCCTGAACATACCCACCTGTGTCCTGAACATACCCACCTGTGTGGTGACAGCGATCAAGGAACACAGACAAGCCCCGCCCCCTCAATTAGCACACCAGGCTCGGTCTGTGAAGTGGTTTAATTAATGTGCAGACTGCAGAAATATGTTCACATCCGTATATTACACAAGGCAAAAGTTCAAGGCCAAGTCCATTCCTGTTACAATCGTTGGCACGCAGTCACACACAGACCCCACAAAAGTATCTTCGCAGCGGACGCAGCACAGGCACCCCCCTGTCCCACCCAGGGGTGGGACTGCCCATCTGACGCCAGCCTAGGCCAGACAGACCACCAAGGGGCATGGTGGAGGGCTTACCACAGAACTCAGCACAGCTCTGACCCTTAATCCCTTGGGGTAAGGGCACTAGCGGCGGTGGGGCTCCCAGTAAAAATCCCCACAGTATTTGTTTAGCTGCAACACCACCACCACCCTGCTTGTCTTCACTTTCTGGTGAACTGGTTCAGCAAGTGAGGGGTTTGAGGGTGGTCTCGGCCTTGGAGACTCACACTGAGGGTCCGGGCAGACCCCTGTGTGCCTGGAACTTTTCAAAGACATTTTTACTGCTGTTGCTCAGAATGCCCGCAGCAGACTCTTCCAGGGCTGATTCTGCATGGACAGGGTTCTCGGGCCTCACCTTCCCTTTCCTCGGCTGTCCCGTCCCCTGGAACTTGAAGTTGCTGCCCCCTGGGAAGCCGATCTGGTCTTGGGAGCTGCTCAGCCCGTGCGGCCCAGACAGTTAAGAGGGCACCAGGCTCAGGAGGGCAGGCTTGACCTTAAAGGCTTGGCTTTAAGAAGACCTCAGGGGAGATGTTAGAGTTTAAGGGTTGGAGGTCTCAGGGCATTGCTTTCAGGGGGTCACCAGCTCTTGGGGCTCAGCTGGTCTAGTGTCCACGAGGACTTGAAGTTCTGTTCCCCATTTCCCCCGACCCCCCGCAGTGATCAGGACTCTCCTAAAGAACCCTGGATCACAGCGTTCAGCGGTCGGGCACCATCCAGCTTTTCTGGCCTCCTGGCAGCGGGGTTGTGGCGCACAGAGGCAGTCAGGCGCCCTCCTCTGTTATCATGCCCTGCTCCCTAACCCTCTGAGTTGCTGTTGTCAATTTGACCCCACACGGATCGCTCTTAGAGGCTCCGTGCCCACCCAGATTTTCCTCGGGAACCAAGGGGCATCAGCACACAGGAGCACCGGGAGGCCGGTAGCTGACCCTCTCTCACCAGTGGCTCCAAAGACTAACCAGGGGCCCCACCCTTGTGGATTTGGGGACAGACACATCCACTGTGTGTGGATGTGGGGAGGGGCTGCCCCCTGTCACCGTCATGGCCTACACAAGATCACAGAATACATTCCCAAAGTTAGGGTACAGGAAGGCGGCAGGAAGCGTTGGACCGCTGTGGAGCTCCTGTGTGCTCAGGGAAGTCAATTGCAATGGGAGATGAAACAGACCAAACGGCAGGGTGTAGGCCATTCTGGTTAATTTGTAAGACTGACCGCACCCTGCAGCAAGAAAGGACAGTCACAGCTCTGGCCTCACTGACCCACGAGGTGGGCAGAGAAGCTGAGATGCAGAAGCACTGGGGCACAAGCAGGGGCTCGACAGAGAGGCAGCCTAGCCCACCAGCTGGGAAGACGGCTGGGTTGGGGGGTCCCTGTACGAAGTAAGGGTGTATGGGGCCCCCTGTCTCACGGGGTCCTGCCTCGGGCTGCCTTCGGAGGTGTGAGGTCCCCAGAGCTGCATCTGCTGCGGGGACGGGCCTGGGTGTCCATCGCGGATGCGCTGGAGCAGAGCAGCTGGCAGAGCCACGTGCAGCCCCGGGTCTGTACCACTCGGGGACAGGGCCAGTCCCGCGTGCCACCCCAGGGGAGGTGGCTGTCTCCACCTCACTGTGCCCCACATTCCAGGGGCCGGGGGGCTGCTCTCAAGGCCACACACAGCCCTTTCTTCTCCCTCTGAATGCACTGTTCATGCTCGGCCCTCAGAGAAATGCTTCCTCATGGAATTCAGAATGTCAGCTCTGCGCCACACAAAGGCCGAATGTCGCTGGTGCATTCCGGTGGGGCGTAGGAGCCCCGACACAGGTCCTGGGGTGGTTTGTGATTCTCACAGGGTGGGGGTGGGGGAAGCCATGCCCCAGGGGGCTCTGTTCTGAGGCTGGGCCTCGACATGAACAGGCCAGTGTGGGCACAGCCACGAGCGGTCACCTCCCCTGCTGCCTCCTGGGGAGCTGGCTGGGGTACAGCGGGCAAGCTCCCCATGGAGTGCCATTAACCAGACTCTGGTCTCTAGGGAAGCTCTTTAGGAAACACAGGAGGCCTGCCCCGGCGCACCGCCCCAGGAGCCCTGGTATCGCACTGGTTAAAGCTCCCTGCCACCAACCACAAGTTCAGCTGCTCAAGCCCAAGGGCCTCTGTGTGGGAGAAAGACGAGGCTGTGTGTGCCGGGAGAGACAGCAGCACGGAATCCCTGCGGGGCAGTCCTGTGGAGCCTGCAGGCAGGGCTGTGACTCATGTCACCTCAACAGCGGTGGGCTGGCCGGGCCGAAGCCCCAAGGCTCCCCTCTCCCGCACACAGGCAGCACACCAGAGCCAGAGAGACATCCCCATCGCCCCACAGCAGTCCCTGGGGACCATGGTTCAGCACCCAGGGCTGCTGTGGGTGGGACTGTGCAGGAAGCTCCCAGCTCACGTCTCATCACCAGGGTTTAAAAGCAGAGAGCCAGGCGAAGGGCAATGCCCCCCGGTAGAGCCCGGCTGCTGACCGCACACTGCCATTCCCTCTCTTTCTCTCTCTCTCTCTCACACACACTGGCCCTCGTCCCTTGGCACTCCCACACTAAGCTGGTGAATATGGCTCGGGGCACTGACACTGGCCCCTTGGCATGGCGAGGCGAGCCTGCCCACTCAGGTCCCTCTGTGTTCAGAACCCACGCTCCCAAGGCTGGAAGCCGATTGTTTAAGGATTGCTTTTATTTATCTGAGAGCCTGTGGAACTATTCCCATCGCCCTGGCTCCTGGGACCTCATCCAGCTCTTTCGCAAAGAGGGTGAAAGTCGGATCTTTTCTCTGAAGCCAGAGTTAGTCACAGTAACACAGGTGTAATGACACAAACCCACACGAGGGGGTGCCCACATCTCTGAATCCCATTTTCCCATCAGCTTTCTGAAGCTGCTCAGTGCTTCTCTCTGTCTGTCTGTCTGTCTGTCT